CGAGGTGGGCCAGAGGCTGGGCATTGGACGAAGGGCCAGGATCAGAAAAAAACTTGTCTGCCTCCCGTGGGGCTGGAGAGCCGGCGACGTTTGTTCCGCAGACGGTGTGTGACTGTGCACCACCGGGTCTGGGGTCTGTTTGGGACAGCAGCTTCGCCTGGGCTCCAGGCCGGGAGTTCTGGCTAAGTCAGTGGAAGCACGGCTCCTAACTGAGAGAAGTCACGGTAGTAGGCAGAATAAGTTTTTTTCCAATAATTTCTTCTTAATCCTTGGCACTTGCCTCAGCTCACTGTACTCCATGCTGTGTGGTCCACCGAAGTGGTGTAGGCCCCCGCCTTCCCGGTGTTTCCCTTTCCCCAGCAGTACAGGGTATGGACAGGGGCAGGGAGGTGGTGTGGCCCAGATGCCACCCGACCCCTGTGACTTGAGGCTTTGATAGTGGTAGTGGCTGGAGGCAGAGTGCGCCACGGAGGGGGAGCCCACCCTGAGGGGGAGGGAACTGATCTGGTCACACTGGGCTGTCCTCGGTCTGGGTTATGATGTGTATATGGGATGTTTCCAAAGGGAATCCTGCTTCACATCATTTGCAAAGACCTTTTGTCTCCGACAGCCTCCCTTTCCTATTCTGACCGTGGCCCTTTGATCCCTAGTCCTTTGGACATCTCAGGATTCTTAGGCTTGAGGTTCTGAGAGGAGGCCTGGGAGGGGCTTCCCTACCTCCCTTGATGATAAGCAGGCACCTGGCTTTGGAGGGGGTGGTGGTTATCATGTCCTGGACAGATGCCGTCCTGGGGTTTGTGCCTTTCATGCATTCATTCCAGCTAACAGCTCAGGACTGCCCCGAACTGGATCTTGAGCGAGAAGGAGGCGGTATGAGAGACCAGTGGGGGCATTCCAGGCAGAGGAAAGAATGTGGACAAAAGAAGGCGAGTAAGGATGTGGACTGTTCCACTCTGATCCTAGGGGCTGCAGACCAGGAGGGGTCAGGTGGTCGAGGGAGCATGTAGACCAAAGGGTCAGCCTGCCTTTGGGAGGGGAGCTGCGGAAGGGTTTCTGGTAGGTCCTGTGGCTGCTCTTAGATGTCCTGGGGCAGGAAGATGAGTTAGGAAGTTGTTGCCCCTCATGCCAGATGGGTGCGAGGAGCAGAAGCTGGGGCTACCTTCTGAAGAGAATAACTTCCCAGCACGCTCTCCCAGGGAGACTCCCCATTTTCCTGTCCCAGCTTATTGTAGCGCCCGGGCTGGGGTGTGTTCTCTGGGCCTCTGTAGCTCCTTGTGAATCTTTGTGTGAAGCTGAGGTGGCCAGACGCAGGCACAGTGGGAGAAGTGAAGGGGCTGATGGTATAAGACTGTACAGGCTGGTGGGTCATCCTTTCTAAGAGGAGCTGCTGCCCCCATTGAAGCCACGTGGGAGTGGGAGGTGAGTAATGATAGATCTTTGGTTTTTATAAAGAGGAGCCGGATCAAGGTAGCATTTTCCTGTTTTTTAAAGGAAGGCTGCAGGTAGCATGAACTTAGGTGATCCATGATAAATCTCATCCTGAGTGTGTTTCTTCTTCTCTGTGCCATCCCTGCTCCTTGGCCGTGGCACCAGCTCACCTCCTTGTCCCTCTCGGTCTTTCACTGATGTCTGTGGAACTCACGCGTCCCTCCTCACCAAGTTCCACTGCTGTTAGCCAGCCGGCAGCCTCAGGCCTCTGGAACCTCATGAACTTTGGTGACCTGTCTGCTGCCCAAGGCCACACCCTGGATTTGCCTAACTTGGGCAGTCTTCTGTTCTGCAGCCTGTGTCTCACCAGGGCCTCTGATTCCTCTCATCACCATCTGCCCTGCAGAGCCCCGCCGACTTCCCTTTTCTACTGCTATACTAGGCGGCAGACTGATGGTCTCCTGGGCACCACCTGTCACCCTAAGCCCTGATCAGTTCCGTCTTTTATTCCCTCAGCAGCCTGCCTCTCTCCTCAGCCCCTGCCCTTGCATTCTACTTTGCAGAGAGCATTGGGGTCAGCCATTGCAGTCTGTCACCTTGGCTTCACGTCCCTTCCTCACAGGCTCTCAAGCCCACGTCCAGATCTGAGGATGAGAGTCCTCCCATCTCCAGCTTTTATCTCCTCCATCCTCAGCTTTCCTCTTTCCACTGGCCTTTTCTTTTGGTTATTAATATGTACAAAGGTCTTTCATTAAACAGCAACAAGGAAAACAGGAAAAAACAGCAAACCCAAACCTACATTTCTGTCAGCCCATCTTCCCATTCCCGTGTCTGGTTGGCATTGTCTTGGCTTATCCGCCTCCCAGCTCCCTAAGCCGTTTGCTGTCTCCTCCCACCGGACTGGCCCAGCTCTTGCTCAGGACCCTGGTGACTCCCCAGCTCCAGCCCCAGCCCCAGAGGGTGTTTGCTGGGCCTTGTTGGTCTGGATCTCACTGCTACAATCTACAGGTGGAGTCAACTCTCCTCCGAAACATTCCACTCCCTGAATTTTGGAGGTACCTCATGCTCCTTGTTGTCCATCTTCAATGTATTTTTGTGATGCAAGCACATATTTAGAAAAAAAATCAAATAGAACCAAAAAATGAATAATAAAAAGGTTGTAACTTCCTCTCTTGTCTATCCTTCTGTCCTGCTTCCCATAGGCAGCTGACTTCTGTTCTTTTCACCGTGTTTTCTGGTAACTTAGGGAAGTGACAAAGTCAGGTTTCAGAATTGATGGACAAGAATGAAATTGTGAGGGTGGGTCATTTTCACTTTAGAAAGATAAGTCTGGAGGGGAGGGTATAGCTCAGTGGTAGAGTGCATGCTTAGCATGCACGAGGTCCTGGGTTCAATCCCAGTTCCTCCTCTAAAAATAAAATAAATACAACAATAAATTAAAAAAAAAAGTCTGGCTGCAATTTTGTGGATGGATCATTGGGGTTGGCATGGATGCCGTGAGGAGGCCGTTGAAACAGCCTTTGGGATGAGAATTGATGACACTGAATCAGGCCAGTGGAAGTGAGGGGAGAGATTAGGGAACATAGTAACTGGGATTCCGAGTTGGAGGTGAGAGAGACAGGATAGACCTGGATGCTTCCTGAAACTGGCTACACAAAAATGCCGTTTCCTGAGCAGGAACCCAGAGCTCTGTTCTGGACCTGTGGTGGTCTGGGGCCACCCGGGAAGGGGATCAGTGGCTCAGGAGAGGAGTCCGGAGTGGGCAGAGTTCTGGGAGCCCTCGGCAGGGATGAGCAGCTGGGAGTAGGTGGAACTGCCTGGGGAGACGGGGTAAAGCCACATGTGGAGGCCTACAGACACAGTGTGTTTGGCTTCTGAAAGACATTTGAGTTAGTGGTTAATTTCAGTACGGGAAGATTTCTAGCTTTTCTTGAAAAATCGGAGTCTTTAGCAGTGTTGGCCCTGCATTCCCACTGGGTAGCTGTCAGCAGAGTTGAGGGGTGGCTGCGACCTCCAGCAGGCATGGCTCTCTTCTTTGTTCACCTGGGTCCCCACCTGCCTGACTTGAGGGCATCTGCTCTGGCTCTCCCTGCCCTGGGGAGACTGAGGCCCAGGACAGAGGAGGGAAGTATGCAGTAGAGCTGGAAAGAAAGAAGAACCAGAAAGCCAAGTGCGGGTCATATACTGGAAGCCCAAGAGGAGGCAAGGTCTCTCTCCAGCAAGATCAGAACGGAAAGTCCGTAGATCTGCACAGTTAGGAGATGACTGGCTGTGGACTAAGCTTGCTTTCTTGACTGAGGGGAAGGGGAAATAGGGTGGCTGGTGGGGGAGGGAGGTTTTTTTTTTTTAAGATGAGAGAGGTTCAACCTTGGTAAATGTTAAGGAGAGAGATCTGGTGGAATGCAGGAGGGAGAGGGTGAGGGCATCATGTCCTGGAGCAGCCAGAAGACAGGGTCCGGGGGGCAGGTGGGGCCCTTTGTGGTGTGGGAGACCTTGGGTGAATCTGTGAAAGGACTTCTGACATCTGGGCTGGCGGCCTGCAGTCTGGGTCTCTAGAAGTTCTGGCCAGAGTCCCCTGTGGCTAGTGCTGGCCTTCACCCTGGCATTGCTGGTCACCCGGCTCCCCTCCCTGCTGAGCAGCCCACCCTGTGCTGCCGGGGGTGGTCCCCATGTCCATCCAGTTATTCCTGCAGAGCGTCTTCCCTCCCTTATTTCCCTAGACCTTTGCTCAGATATCACCTTGTCACCAGGGCCTTCTCTGACCCCACTCTATTTAAAATTACACACCTAGATGTATTCTTTTTTCTTTTTTTTTATTACAGTATAGTTGATTTACAAAGTTTCAGGTGTATAGCAAAGTGATTCAGCTTTAAATATGTGTGTGTGTGTGTGTGTGTGTGTGTTGTGTGTATGTATGTGTATTCTTTTTCAGATTCTTTTCCATTATAGGTAATTACAAGATACTGAATGTAGTTCCCTGTGCTGTATAGTAGTAGGTCCTTGTTGTTTATCTATTTTATACATTGTGGTGTGTATCTGTTAATCCCAAGCTCCTTATTTATCCCTCCCACCCCCTTTCCACTTTGGTAACCGTAAGTTTGTTTTCTATGTCAGTGAGTCTATTTCTGGCTTGTAATAAGTTCATTTGTATCATTTTTTTAGATTCCACATATAAGTGATATCATATAATATTTATCTTTCTCTGACTTATTTCACTTAGTATGATTATCTCTAAGTCCAGCCATGTTGCTGGAAATGGAATTAGTTCATTCCTTTTTTATGGCTGAGTAATAATCCATTGTATACATATACACTACATCTTTATCCAGTCATCTGTTGTTGGACACTTGGGTTGCTTTTAAGTCTTGGCTATTGTAAATAGTGCTGCTATGAATGTTGGGGTGCATTTGTCTTTTCAAATTAGAGTTTTCTCCAGATATGTGCCCAGGAGAGGGACTGTTGGATCATATGGTAACTCTATTTTTAGTTTCTTAAAGAATCTCCAGTGTTTTCCATGGTGTCTGTACCTATTTACATTCCTACCAACAGTGTAGGAGGGTTCCCTCTTCTCCACACTCAGACGTATTCTTAATCAGCCTTCTTGTTTCACCTGAGATGTGGTTTACCTCTTGTTGTCCATTTCCCTACACTGGAATACAGGCTTTTTGAGGCGGGGGATTTGTATGGTGTGTTACAGCATCTCTGGTACATGAACTGTGCAAAGGCATCAGTGTCATTGTGCTGACCGAACAAGAGAATAAATTGACCTATGGTACAGATGAGGGAAGTGTGGCTGGAGGGTCAGTGGCTCTGCCCTGAATGTACCTGTGTGGTCTTCATTCCTTTTGATTCACAGACAGCAGAAAGGACTTTACCTCAGTCAGAGCAGGTTACAGGTGAAGGGGCTTAGAACAACTTTCTAGGTATAAATGTGTCATCATAATTTTGATGGTGAGGACGGTGTCAGTTAGCTCTGTCTTTGCCAGGTGCTCTGCTAAACTGTCTGAATCCTCAAACAACAGCAGCAAACCCTAAGTAGTGGTACCCGTATTACCCCTGTGTTAGCCATTAGTAACAGAGCAGTGGAGGCTTCTGCAAGTTCCCTTGCCCAAGGGTGGGTGCGCAGCACTAGGATGGGGAGTCAGATGCATGTCCTTTTAACTGCACAGTCCTGGTGCTAACCGCTGCTCTCTCCTGCCTCTCCTTCTGTAGGCATTTGCATCAAGTGTGGCCTTGGCATCTACGGAGCAAGGCAGGCGTGCCAGGCAATGGGGAGCCTGTATCACACCGATTGCTTCACCTGCGACTCCTGTGGTAGGTACCCTCTCCCCCATCCCTCTTGCACCTAAGTCCCAGGCAGTTAGACCACCTGGCTCCGGCCCCAGCTGGAGTGTAGAGGAGGCTGAGCTGTGGTCCCTTTCCTTCTGGCCTGGACAGTTTGAGAGGCCCAGGCCCCTGGGCAGATCTGTGGGGCCCTGGGAGGAGGTGTGGGGCCAAGGAGGAGCCTTTTGCTGCTCCTCTAGCCCTTGACTTTGGACCCACTGTCCTGGGCAGTGTACCGATGTCTTCTGGCTGCCCGGGTGGGGCTTGTGGAGCCAAGTGATGTGCCTTCTGCCTGCCTAGATATGGGGCTGATATTTTTTTCTCTGCAATTTATTTTTTGTCCTGATTTTCCACACAGTATACACTGTAAATGTTATGATTTAACCTAGACAAAGTTGTAAAAAGAAAAAGTAACTGTAATCCAACCAACCTAGTAAGTCTGCACTCTTGATTTTCCTGCTGTTCTTTCAGGCTTTGCCCCTGAGCTGACATCTTTTATTTATTCACACTAAACATTTTAATGTTTTATTTTATAAAAATTTAATATGTAAACAGTGTTAAGTCAAATAGTCCTGAGATGCCACTTTTGCAATAGCCAAAAACCACTTCTCTGTCCACCCCTGGTCCCGTTCCCCGGAGGCAGCCTCTGAGTATTTTTTAGCAACTTCTTCTAGTAGACACCTGCATATTCTAACAGCATACACTGCTGTTTCCTGATGTATCAGTTTTAGAAGTGATTTACTTACCTTTGCTGTGGTAGATGAGGAATAGGTCCTTGTACTGGTCCTCCTCCCTCTCCTCCTTCCATCTTCTCACTGTGGTCACATCCTAAGCTGTGGTGAAGTCAGTAACCCAGGTCTGTATTACTATATAAATGTCATTCACTGCAGGGCCAGGAATTATACTGGGATTATGTCCCTTTTTTTCTGTAGTCTTTACTTTTCCTGGTGTTTTTTCTTTTTTAACCTTTCTTCCCCTTGTGTTGTCTTGACTTATCATATCTTCAGTGTTTTTCCCCTAGATGCTCCATTATAGCAAGCATTCTCTTGAGTTCCCCCGGGAGCTCCTGGCCTCTTGTCAGTCTGAGCCAGTTGCCCTCTGGACCCCTGTGGAGTACTCATTCTGTGCACTCATTCCTGGATTGAGTCTACTGTATCCTGGAATCTTGCAGCTGTAGATAACAGAAAAGCTGCTGAGGAGGTGCAAACTCTTAGTGAACTGGGATCTCAGAGATGGGGCTGGCTTCAGGCTGGGATTGATCTAGTGGCTCAGGCTCTATGAGTATCTTGGCTGGGTTTCCCTTGGGTTTGGCTTTATTCTTACAGTGGTGAAATGTGTGAGGCAGCTTCCATTAGCATACCACTGGTCTGGAGGAAGAGGGGGCATCTCTTCTGGTCGTGCGTTTGGGGCAGGAAACTTCTTTTCCACCTAGCAAAGATATCCTTGTATGTCATTGGCCAGGTCATCTCACACATCCATTCCTGAACCCATCCCCATGTCGAGGGGTGGGGTGGGGTGCTGTGATTTGATTGACTAAATTGCCTGAGTCTCTGAGCCAGTATTGTAGTAAGGGAAGAAGAATTATCTTTATACTAATCAAGCCCACCTGAATAGATTCAGATTTCCTTGAAAATGCACCAGGCTGTCTGTTAAAAGGTTGGATACTGGACACAACTTGGAAAGTAGAGAGGAATCAAAGCTGTGAGGCAGCCAGAAGTGTCTCCGGCGTTTTGCTGTAGCTATCATAGAAAGGACACATGGGAGGCAAATTTTCTGAATTCCAGGATGACTAAAATGCCTTTATTCAACTCTCACAATTTATAATTTGACTGGGAAGAGATTTCCAAATTGGAGGTAATTTTCAGTAAGCATTTTGAAGTCATAGTTTTATCTTCCAGAAGCCATTGCTGCTGCTAAATTCTGATGCCATTCTGATTCTCATTTTTCCTTTTGGAAGCTCTCAAGAAGAGGGCTGTTATATTGCACAAATCCTGGCTATAAATGGCCTCTGGAAGTGGCTGTGAGCTGCCCAGTTCCAGGGGGTGCCATTTACGTAGATGCAGCAGGAATGGTGCTCCTGAAGTTGTGCAATGCAGCAGCCTGGCTTAGGATGCTTTATTTATCTTTGGTGTAGGTTTTGTGACATTGGTTGTGCTGGCACACACAGAGCTCTGTGAGACTGGAGACTTGCCCTTCAGTTCTGGGAATTTTTCTTCTACTATTTATTTATTCCCTTCTTTTTTCCACTGGAACTGAATTCAGCACTGTATAATCAAGATCATATTTTATGATCAAGCTTATGATTGAGCTTATCTGAAGAATACTAGTGGATTTACAGTATTAATGTTATCATTAATGTAATTCACCTCATTAACAGATTAAAGAAGAAAACTGTACAGTCATCTCAATACGGGTAGAAAAAGCAGTCAGTAAAATCTGACATTCATTCATGATGAACATGTTTAGCAAACTAGAAATAAAAGGGAACTTTCTCAACCTGATAGAAGTTGGTTACTAAAAATCTATGCAAACATCATAATACTCAATGGTGAAATATGAGAAAAATGTACCTTTAAAAGAGGAAAGAAGAATGATGCCTGCAGTCTTCTATTCAATACTGTACAGAGGCCCTAGTCACTGCAGTAAGAGAAGAAAAATAAATATGCCATATTCATGGATATATTCATGAGTATATCTGTATTCATATATTATTGCTTATGGGTATATTCAGTAGTGTAGAGATGTCAGTTTTTTTCCAAATTGATCTATAATGCCTTGTAATTCCAATTAAGCAAGTTTTCATGAATTTGACAAGCTCATTCTAAAATTTCAATGGAAGAGCAAAAGGCTAAGAATAATTGAGATGATCTTGAAGAAGAGTAAGTTGGGGAAACTTCTACTACTGGGTGTCTATATAATGTATTATATAGTTACATTAATAAATTTCATGTGGTGTGAAGATAGACAGATAGACAGATGGAACAGAATGGAGAGTCCAGAAACAGACCCACTCTATGCAAAACTTAATAAAAGATAGAGCAGGCATCACAGATGGTTCTGAGAAAAAGTGGTTATCCATATTTAAAAACTGAAGTCAAATCCAGATGGATCAAAGACCTAAATGTGTAAAGAAAAACTTGACAGTTTTAGAAAAACCAATCTTCTGGTTAAGAAAGTTTTTTTTCCACATAAAAAGTACCAAATTTAAAAGAAGGGGTTGATAAATTTGGCTGGATTGGAATTAAAAAAAAAACTATTTACTAGAAGACACCATGAGACACGTGGGAAAACAAACAGTATTCTGCCACAAATATAACTTCCAAGGAGTATTTTCTAGAATATTTAAAATGCTTTCACATACTAATTAGAAAAAAGTAGAGATAATTTAAAGTGTTCTTTTATAGTGTGATATGTAGGTGTGGGTTTCCTCTTATTTGTCTTGCTTGGGATTCATTGTTGACTCCTGAATCTGAAAATTCAGGTTTTTTATTAATGTGGGAAAAATCTTAGCTATTATTTTTCAAAAATTTGCTTCTCTTTCATTCTTTCTATTATTTACTTCTAAAATTCAGGTTAGAAATATTAGGCTTTTTCATTCTATTCTATTTGTCTCTCAGCCTCTTCTCCATATTACCCATTTCTCTTGTCTCGCTTTGCTGCATTTTGTTTAACAGATCTGTCTTCAGATCTATCTTCCAGAAGCTGGAATCCAGTCACTGAATTTTCTCATCAGCTGTGTTTAATTGAACGCTTTCATTAAGTTTTTCATTTCAGTAACCAGATTAAAAAAAATTTTTTTTACAAGTTCTCTTTTTGTTTTCCAAATCTGCCTCAATATTTTTGGTAGTCCTTTGCTTTTTATCAAGATTTCATATATATAAAGGGTGCAAACCCCACTAATTTTATGTGTATTACAGCTTGATCCATTTTTACGTATCCACTGCCCATGTAATCACCATCTGGATCAAGATGTAGAACATTTCCATCACCCCAGGGGATTCCCTTGTGCCCCTTCCCAGTCATCTCTACATGGATTTTTGAGCTGTTTCCATAAGTTGGTGATTATAAATAAAACTTGTTAGGAGCATTCTGGTACATCTGTTGATGGACACTTACACTTATTTCTCTAGCACTGGAGTTGCTGGTCATGGAATAGTATTTGTGTAGCTTTTGTGTATTTAGTATATAGCTAAACAGGTTACCAGAGTAGACAAACTGATTTGTAATCCCATTGGCGATGTATGAGAATTCCAGTTTTCCCTGGAAAGTGCCGCCACCACTTAGCCTTGTCAGTCTTTTAGCCGTTTTGATAGAGGTGGAGTGGTATCTTAATGTGATTGTAATTTCCCTGATAAGTATTCATGACTTGTACACACGTTCACTGGCCATTTGAATGCCTTCGTAAAGTGCTTGTTGACATCTTTTGCCCATTTTTAAATTGGGTTGTTTGACTTTTTCTTATTGATTTCTTGGATTTCTTGATGCATCTTGGGTAAAAGGGTGTTTATTTTGTTGGATATGTGTGTTATAAATTCTTTCCTAACCTATTCTTGCTTCATTACTTTCTTAATGATGTCTTCTGCTGAAAAGAAATTCTTAATGAAGTCCAATTTATCTTTTTTTGTTTGTTTACAGTCATCGCTTTTAGTGTCTTGCCCAAGAAATCTTTGTAGTTTCATGTTTTGGACATTTGTTTTTATTTTTAAAGCATATTAAACATACCTATTTTGTATTCTGTATCTAATAATCCCAGTATCTGATGACTTTTGAAGTCCTACTTCTGTTTATTATTTCTCCTCACTCTTGGTGATGAATACATTGTTTCCTCATGTATTTTGTAATTTTTGATTGTGGAAGTCAAATTCCAGAATCAAAAATTGTGAATTCATTGAGGTGTACATTGAAGGTGCATTTCTCTAGGGAATGTTTGAAAGCTTTTTATTAAGGAAAGTTTTATACTTAAATGGAGGCAAATATATTTTTTATTTTTTGTGTATTCTTATTACTCATGGACTTGTATTCATGTAATAATATATTGCAACACCATCATTATTCTTTTTAATGCACGAATTGTCTCAAATTTGACCAGAGGAAGTCCCTCCCTGTTGGTTCTTGTGCCCTCTTGATTTGTCTCCATCATTCTCTGAGCACTTCTTTACTGTGGCACGATATGTACTCGGTGTATCTTTTTTTTTGTTTTTAATTGAGTACAATTTACATTCAGTACAGCAAACAGATCTTAAGTACATAGTTAGAAGATTTTGGATAAATTTATATAACTCACATCCCTAACAAGGATGTAGACAATTTTGAACACCTGAGAAACTTCTGCCTTCCCTTTTTTTCAGTTGATACCCATGTGTTCCCCCATCACATCCACCCAGCCAGTGTTCTGATTTCTACCACCATAGATTAGTTTTGTCTGTCTAGAATTTCATATAAATGCAGTCATTTTGTACGTACTATTATGTGGCTTTCTTTCTTTCTTTCTTTTGCTAAGCATGTCTTTTTTTTTAATCCATGTTGTTGCTTGTATCAGTGGCTCACTCCTTTTTATTGCTGAGTGGATTCTATTGTATGAATATACCACAATTTGTCCATTTAACTGTTGATAGATACTAGGTTGTGTTATGAACATTCTTGTACAGGTCATTTGTGGACCAATGTTTTCATTTCTCTTGGTTAAATTCTAAGGAATGGAATTTCTGGGTCATAGGCTAAGTGTATGTTTAACTTCTTAAGAGACTGCCAAATTGTTTTCCAAAGGGCATGTATCGTTTTATACTCCCACCAGAAATATAAAAAAGTTGGGTTATTCTACATATTTGCCAACAATTGATATTTTAGTCTTTTTAATTTTTAGCCATCCTATTGGGTGTGAAGTGGTATCTCACTGTGGTTTTAATTTGCATTTCCCTGGTGACCAGTGAGGTGGAGCTTCTTTTTTTCTGTTTCTTGGCCATTTATATCTTCTTTTGTGAAGTCTGTTCAAGTCAGTTTTTAAATTGGGAGTTTTTTTTTTATTATTTAGTTGAATATATATATATATATATATGTATAATGCAAGTTCTCAGATGTTTTGTGAATATTTTCTTCAGTTTTTTTAATGGCTATTTTTGTGATTTAAAATTTTTTTGTACCCCTTTAAGTCATGAAGCTAGTCTCTTTTGTTTTTTCTTAGAAGTTTTAGGTTTCTCATTTTGATGTTTCAGTTGATAACCCATTTCACATTAATTTTTGTGCACAGTGCTAGGTAAGGAATTGAGCCTTATTTTCTTTTCCATATAAATATCCAGCTGTTCCGGCACCATGTGCTTTCTCACTTGTATGTTTGTTGACATATTTATGGATCTATTTTTGGACTCTATTCTGTTTCACTGATGTTTTTGTCTCTCCTTACCGCAATACTACACTGTCTTGATTACTGTAAGTCTTAAAATAGGTAGTGTACGTCTTCTAGTTTTGCTGTTTTTTTTTCAAGATTATTTTGGCTATTCTAGGTTCTTTGTATAGCCAGTGTTTCATGCATGCTGACTGAAGACGTGACCCTCCTGGGGCAGATCCTCGCAGCCCCGCAAGCGGCGTGAGCGTCACGTTCATGTCTGTTCTCTGTGACCTCCCCGTTCCCAAAGGAGTGATGTGGAGGGCACAGGTGCATGCTGCACACGCAGTGGGTCTGTATGTCAGGGCTGAGGAACACTGAGCTTAGGGAATCCCAGGCTTTTATAATGGGCTGCCAGCAAGGCTGTCTGACCCTTGTCCCAGAGAAGCACTTTATCTTTATTATACTGGACACCAAACAAACCTGCCCTTTGCTTCAGAAGGAGATGCAATCTCTGTCTTCTAAGCAGTTTGCTCCACAAAACGTCCTTGGCAAGAAAATCCAGAATGGAAGCTGCTGGCCCTCTGTTTGAAAGATGTGCAGAAATGGAAGAGATCCAATGGAGAACTGTCTTCCAGCAATGGTGTATCTTTCTATTTATGCAGCTCTTTTAAACTTGCTCTCAGCAAAGTTTGGTTTTGCAGAGTAAGGTCAAACACATCATCTTCATAAAATGTATCCCTTAGTATTTTATGGGGTGTGGGGGATGCTACTATAAGTTCATTTTCCAGTCATTTGTTGCTAGAATATAAAAATATTTTTGATTTTCATATGCTGACCATCTATACTTTGCTAAGCTCACTAGTTCCAGTAGTTTCTTGGTAGACTCCTTATGATTTTCTGTACAACACAACCATGTCGTCTGTGTTTAAAGACAGTTTTACTTCTTCCTTTCCGATTTTTAAATTTTTTTCACTTGTCTTATTGCACTGCCCAGCACTTCTAGTACAATGTTGAATCCTGAGGGGAAAAGCATTTACTATTTCACTATCATGTCTGATGTTAGCTGTGGGTTTTTATAGATGCCCTTCATTAGGTGGAAGAGTTTCCTTCTATTTTTTCTTTTGTTTTATGAGGGGGAGGTAATTGGGTTTATTTACTTATTTATATTTGGAGGAGGTACCGGGGATTGAACCCAGGACCTTGCACATGCTAAGCATGTGCTTTACCACCTGAGCTGTACCCTCTCCCTGAGTTTCCTTCTTGTTCCTAGTTAAGCGTTGTCATCTTTCTCTTGACTCAACGGGAATGCCTCACATAGCTCCTGGCAGGTCTCCTGGGGCTATGGTTTTGACAAGGATGCCTTTTTCTTTGTAAGTTTTTATTCAATTTATTTAAACTGAAAAAAACCCCACATCACCCATTTTTCCCACCCCCCACCCCCTGTGTCTTGCAACCACAAAACTGTTCCCTGTACCTATGAGCTTGTTTGTTTGTTTTTCTAAAGATTCCACATATAAGAGAGATCATATGGTATTTGTGTTTCTTTGTGTGGCTTATTTCACTTAGCGTAATGCCTTCGAGGTCCATCCATGTTGTCGCAAATGGCAAGATTGAATTTTCATTCTTTTTTAGGGGGGAGGAGATAATCAGGTTTATTTATTTATTTGTTAATGGAGGTACTGGGGATTGAACTCAGAACCTCATGCATACTAAGCACGTGCTGCACCACTGAGCTGTAGCCTCCCCCCTCATTTTCATTCTTGTTTTGTGGCTGAATAATATTCTGTTGCATCTGTATAGAATATATATATACACACACATGCATATATATATATTCTACAATTTCTTTATCCATCCATCAGTGGACACTTAGGTTGTTTTCATATCTTGGTTATTACAAATAATACTGCAGTAAACAAAGAGGTGCAGATATCTTTTTGAATTAATTAGAATGTTTTTGTTTTCTTTAGATAAATGGCCAGAAGTGGAATTGCTGGATCATGTACTAGTTCTATTTTTGATTTTTTGAGGACTCTCCATACTGTTTTCCACAGTGGTTGTACCAGTTTCATTCTCACCAGCACTGCACAAGGGTTCCCTTTTCTCCACACCTCATCAATAGTTGCTACTTCTTGTCTCATTGACAGTAGCTATTCTAACAGGTGTGAGGTCCTTTGTGGTAATTAATTAACCATTTATGTGTGGGTTTATTTCTGGGCTTGCTGTTCTGATCCATTGATCAGTGTGTCTATTTTTATGCTGACAGCATACGTTTTAATTACTGTAGCTTTGTAATACAGTTTGAAATCAGGGAGCATGTTGCTCCCAACTCTGTTCTTCTTTCTGAAGATTGCTTTGGCTATTTGGGGTCTTTTGTGGTTCCATACACATTTTAGGATTGTTTATTCTATTTCTGAGAAAAATACCATTGGAATTTTGATAGGGATTGCATTCATTGAATGTATAGATTGCTGTGGGTAGTATGGACATTTTAACAATACTGATTCTTCCAGTCCATGAGCATGGAATATCTTTCCATTTATTTGTATCTTCTTCAGTTTCTTTCATTAATGTATTGTAGTGTTCAATATATAGGTCTTTCCCCACCTTGGTTAAATTTTTTCCTAGATACTTATTCCTTTTGATGCAATTGTAAATGGACTGTTTTCTTGATTTCTTTCTAATAGTTCATTATTAGTTAAAGAAGCACAACAGATTTTTTTGTACTGATTTTGTGTTCTGAAAATTTACTGAATTCAGTTATTAGTTCTAACAGTTTTTAATGGCATCTTTTGGGTTTTCTATATACAGTATCATGTCACCTGCAGACAGGGACAGTTTTACCTCTCCCTTTCCAATTTGGATGCCTTTTATTTCTTTTTCTTGTCTAATGGCTCTGGCTAGGACTTCCAATACTATGTTGCATGAAAGTGATGAGATTTTGGCCATCCTTGTCTTGTCCATGATCCGAGAGGAAAAGCTTTCAGCTTTTCACGGTTGTGTATGGTACTGGCTGTTAGCTTCTTTTTATTATGCTGAGCTTTGTTCCCTCTGTACCCACTTCATGAGAAGATGCTGAATTTCATCAAATGACTTTTCTGTATCTATTGAGATGATCATAGGATTTTTATCCTTCATTCTGTTGATGTGATGTATCACGTTGACTGATTTGCGGATGTTGAACTTTACCTGCATATTTGGAATAGAGGAGACCTCTTTTATATTGGGTTCCTTCACCTAGTGAGAACTATACTTCTGATGTTTCTGGATTAAGAAATTCATTCTAAAAAGCCTGCTCCGAGCTCAACTGAACTTAGAGCAAATACATATATTTGTAAATTATCACAACTTCAATTTACATTTGAGAAACAAATCTTTATATATTTGCTCTGACAACCTGGTACAACAGTTTTGTCAACAACACATTATGTTTCATTTTTTAAAAATAACTGATTAGCATAATGATAATAACATTAGAGGGAAATTAAAAAAATTCATCTGTAATCCATTTCTCGTTTGTTGGAGGAGGGAGAGAAGTGCTGAGAAATGGCAGCAGGGGCATCACCCCTGGTTTCCAGCGACCCAGGGACCCCCTTCTTGACCCTCATCCTTGCAGGGAGACGACTTCGCGGGAAGGCATTCTACAATGTGGGTGAGAAAGTGTACTGCCAGGAGGACTTCCTGGTGAGTCAAAGCTGTGCCCTGGCTGGTGCCATGGATGGGAGCAGGGGCGGGGACCTCTCCTTCTGATTCACGTGGAGACCTAAGGCCAAGGAGGCAGGTGCTGGCTGGGCAGTGACTGCCCCTTTGTCACGTAACAACCTGGATCTTGTGTCTCCTCCCAGTACTCCGGGTTCCAGCAAACGGCTGACAAGTGTAGCGTGTGTGGACACCTCATCATGGAGATGGTGAGAACCTCCCCTAGGCTCCTGGAGCCCTCTGACATGGGTGGAGTCTGAGGACCCCACCCTTTCACCTGTCGTAGACCTGCCAGGGGCTCAGAGCCAGAGTGACTTCCGGGGGCTGTGCTGAGCCTTCCACCTGCACTGACCCTTCAGTGCCTCCCACCCCCAGATCCTGCAGGCCCTTGGCAAGTCCTACCACCCGGGCTGTTTCCGGTGCTCCGTGTGCAATGAGTGCCTGGATGGGGTGCCCTTCACTGTGGACGTGGAGAACAACATCTACTGTGTCAGAGATTATCACACGTGAGTAGCTGTCGTGGTGGAGCAATGTGACTCCCACGGTTCCTCGCCTCCCCTAGGAGCATTTTTCTTGCTTGCTTGTCTGTGTTTTCCATCCTTGGCCTGTTCACTTCCGGCCTCTGTGTGTGCTCAGTGGTTGGGGCGAGGCACAGATCTCTGCCTGGAGTCCTCTGTCTCCGTCCCCCCACCCCCAGTGCTGCCACACCCAGCATCTGTCCCCCTGCTCTAATGGCCAGGTCAGGACTCTTCTGCCTAGTATGGGAGCATGGGGTCTTTGCAGAGTCTTTTGCTGCCTGTTTGATATCCATGTGGCCAGGCAGTCCGCTCTCCCTTGCTGTGGCTCCAGGCTCAGCCCTCGGAGCTCTGGTCTCGTGCTGCTGCCTTGCATGGGGTTGGTGCCGGGCATAGGCTCCTGGTACTCAGTGTAGAGCCTGAGGCTTTGCAGGGGTCTCTGCTAGGGGGAGGCCCAAGCCTATATATCTGGGGGCAAGGACTCACAGGAAGCATGAGAGAGAGGCCTGGGCAGAACCTGAAGCCATTCTGGAGGAGGTGATGGGGTACAGGTGAGTTGGGGAGACACACAAAAGGCCAGTGCCAAGAAGGTGTGGCAGAGGCCACTCCTACCCCATTGTGTTCACAAAAGGAAAGGGGGCCTGATGCTCGGACCATGTTATGGGGCTACTGTGGGTGGACCTGTCTGCATGCTCTTGGCCTCTGGTCACTCAGTTGGTCACTTCTGGTTTCCTTTATTCTTCCAGGGTTTTTGCACCAAAATGTGCCTCCTGTGCCCGTCCTATCCTCCCTGCACAGGTAGGAACCACTCACCCAGAGATGATCAGGTGCCTGGTCCTGTCCAGCCCTGCCAGTCCTGCTCAGGTTGGCGAGGGTCTCGGGCCCCAGTGAGAGAGATGAGCAGGTGCCCCTGCCCCATATCCCTTGGGCTGCGGAATGTGTGTGGTGCCCAGTGCACACAGGGTGTAGCCGTCCCTGCATGAGCTAGCAGGAAATGGTGGCCCTCGCTCCTTAGCTGCCCCACTGCCACTCTCAGCACCATTGCCCATCGACGTGAGGACTGTCCCCTGGATCTGTAAGCTCTGCAGGCTGAAGTGGTGCGGGAGCAGATGAGGGGGGGATGCGGTCTCCGCAGGAGGCATCCGTAGGTAGGGCAGCTCTCTCAGGTGCTGGGCCTTCCACACATGCTGTGTCTGGGGAAGCAGGGCTGGCAGTGGTCTTTCCTGACCCCAAAGAACTGAAAAGAACGTGAACACACACACCGACACCCTCACGATGGCCCTCATCATGGGAGGATGCTTACGGCACATGCACATCCACTCACGTGCACCTACCAATGCCTGTTCCGGCCCCGCAGAGGCACCCGTCTCAGTGCTCACTCTGGTGTGAGTGCACCTCCCCCACTACAGGAGCACGCTGGGCAGGTGTGTGCTGCCATACACGGTTCGCCTCACACCCTGTCTCTTCCTCCAGGGCTGCGAGACAACCATCCGTGTGGTGTCCATGGACAGAGACTACCACGTGGAATGCTATCACTGTGAGGTGAGCCTGGGCCCTCCGGGAAGGCTGGTGGCCATGGCGGTCCCCCTCCCACACCGGTCTCCTTCTCCCCTAGTGTCCTGTGGGCCCACCTCCTCTCTCATGGTTCTGCCCCATTCTGCCTGTCCTTCTCCACTGAGCTCTCTCCCTTCCCCACAAGATATATTCTCTCTCAGCCTCTGTTTCTCATTCAATCAAATATTTACTGAGGATTTACAGGGTTGGGGGTGCTGTGGTGTACAGAGAATAAAGACAGTCCCTACTCTCGTAAGAGACGAGTACTCAGGCAGTATTTATACAGGGTCATCATTGCTATCAACGGGAGTTTTCAGAGCACATAGGAAGCCTAGGAAAATCAGGGAGGACTTTCTAGAGGAGGTGACACCATAACTAAGACTTGAAAGATGAGTAAGAGTTAGCCAAGGAGGCAGTGAAAAGGGCATTTCCAGGCAATGGAAACAGAAGGTGCTAAAGTTTGAAGGTGAGTGTATTTGTCTTGTGTCACTGGAAAAGTTGGCAGGAGCTGGGAATGAAAGGCCACAGGAGCTGAGGAGTGTGGACTTACCCTGAGGGCAATGGAGAAGGACTGCAAAAGGGATGACACGGTGGCATAGGGATTTTAGGAAGGGCACTCACTGCCATGCAGAGAATGGATAGGGGAAGAGGGAGTGGGGGTGGGGGTTCCCTGAGGAGGCTGGGGAGTCAGGGTTGTGGTCCAGGGTTCCGAAACGTAGATGGAGTTGAGTGTTGGTTAGACAGTACAAGGGACTTGATTTGGTCAGTGACTGGACATGGAGTTTGGGGGTTTGGAGGTGTCCATTAGGATCGCAGGAGAGAGTGAGGGCGAGAGGAGGCAGGCATAAGATGTTCTCACTTTTGGTAGCTGGAGACACCCGAGCGGAGATGTCCAGGCAGCAGCTAGATGTGCTGGTATAAAGGTTCTGGCTTCGGGAGTCACTGGCATGTTAGCTCTTTCCTCTCTGATACTCTGCCCCTGTGGTTTCTAGTTGCCTTTGCCTCCCCAAATTCTCAATTCAAGGAGACCAATGGGCTCTCTTTGGGCCACCTGTAAAATCTCTCCAGGTAGTAACTTGGGGCTCACCTCACTAATTTCCCTTCTCTCGGAGATCACTGGCCTGTCTTGCCTGTTGCTCAGAGTCTGAGAATCATTGTTTCATATATTTTGCAGTTTTTCATCGTTAAAGGTAAGACGGGACATTCCAGTTAGTGTCGTGGCTGTAAGCAAGAGTTCCTTCATGGGCATGTAGATGGCCACTGAAGCCAGGCGAGTAAGTGAGGTCTTCCAGGGAGAGCTGCAGAGTAAGGGGCAGGGGCTCTGGATAGCCCAAGGAACACCAGCATGCAGGGGCTGCCCGGAGGGAGAGCTGCCTAAATGAGTGACTGGAGAGGTAGGAGGAAAACCAAGAAAAATGTGTTGGGTTCCAGAGCCCCAGTGAAGAGCCGGTGTGTCAGCGAGAAATCTCAAATAGGAATCAAGGGTCAGTTTGGAACCAGGTTGCTTTGGTGATGGCAAGTGGCCCTATGGGAACGGGAATCCTGCTGGAGGACCAGGGAGGGAGGATGGAGAGCCGACGTGGCCTACAGAGGGGCCACAGTTCCTCCAGCAACAGCAGTAGGGCATCCTGCTCTGCTGTCCTGGGACCGCTGTGTCCCTTTGGGATCGCTAAGCACAGTCCTTAGGGAAAGGCTGATCCTGAGAATGAAGGAGCAAGTCAAGCTGTGGGCAGAGCACACCCAGCACCTCAGAGCTGTAAGGCATGTTGCTTTCCCAGGGGAGACCCTTGGATGTTTGAAACTGGGGTCTCCAGGCCCCCCTCTCCTCCCTTCTCTGGTGTCTGGTGGTTACTAGGAGGCCCAGTCAGGGGGCTGTGGCCAGACAGGACATGGAGGACACCTGGGACCTGAGTTGCGTGGGACACGAGACTCCATGGCAGCAGCCCATCTTCATCACCTGTGTGGGGCAGGGCAGGTGTTGGTCTCAGGGCCTTTGGGTAACAAGTGTCAAAGCTTCGAGGCCAGCGGAGTTCGGCCCTGGATGTAGTAAAAGTGTCACCAAAGGGGCCTCCTTGGGGTGGGGGGCAAAATGAAGGAAAAGTTGTCCAGTGGGCTCACCTGGTGCCCCACTGTCTCTGCCAGCACACCCTCTGTGGCTTCACACTTCCTGCCCATCATTTACAGAGGTCAAATATGAATCACATAACTTGTTAAAGAGAGAAAATTAGCCTATCAAATATCACACAGTGATAAAATGGTAAGATAGGGGACATAAAGCCAAATTCCTTGTTTACTTGATGTCTCCAGTTCTTCTGTTCCATTACCTCTTAAGGCCACTGGGGTCAGGCATTTGACCCTCCCCCCTTCCTGAGGTCACCAGTGACCCCCAGGTGGCGGATCTGGGAGATGTTTCTCAGGTGTCACTGACTTAACCTCCCAGCAACTTCTGGCATGCTGACCACTCCCTCCTAGAGTCTCTGCTCTTAAGGCCAGCTGTTTTTGATTTTCCTCACTTTTATTTTCCCCAGAAGTCTTGGCTCAGATCCTCTTCTTGTTAAAGTTGGAGCTTCCACAGCTCAGCTGATTTTGCTCTCCTGTCTTCTAGTTATCTGCAATCCCGGAGAGATGTAATCTGTTGTTTTGTTAAAAACCATCACATTTTTATGCTGATGCCCCATTTACTGCCCAGTCGTCTCTCTCAGACCCCAGGCGCTTGTCCAACGACGTCCCCCCTCGCTGTCTCCTTTGGATGTGTAAGACGCATCTCCAGTTCAGGGGGTCCAACACTGTCCTGCTGATTCCTCCTCCCCCAAAGAGTACAGGCCAAAGTCCTGCGGAAGGTGTGCAGAGCCCTTCAGGTCTCTGACGTGCCCCCCTTGCTTACTCCGGCGCCGCGGCTGTGTTCTCCCCTAGGACTGCGGGCTGCAGCTGAGCGGGGAGGACGGACGCCGCTGCTACCCCCTGGAGGGCCACCTGCTGTGCCGCCGCTGCCACCTGCGGCGCCTCCGGCCCGGCCCGCTTCCCTCACCTGCTGTGCACGTCACAGAGCTCTGAGCGGGGCTGGGAGCCCGCCCTGGCGCTGTGTGTGCGCGCATGTGTGTCCGTGTGCGTGTGTGTGCGCACGCGCGCGTGTCTCTCGACGCGCGCGCGGGCGACGGGTGACCCAGGTCAGTGCCCGAGTTTTGTGTCAGGGGGCGCGGCCGCCGACTCCCACCCCCACCCCTACCCCCACTTGCCACCGAGCTGCTGTCCGAGGGGCCGGCCCCGCGGCGAAGCTACTTATATTTATTCACCGTCTGTGCCTCCTCAAGCCGCTTCCTTCCGGGTT